AGGACACTTGCAGTGGTCTCTAGTAGGAATGAATGCCTTGTAAGTCGTTCTCAGGGGAAATAAGCTCAGATGCACCTGTTTCAGGAACTTGCAGAATGCCACATCAGAGTTGAGCTTAACATGGCAGAATTTGGAGTCTTATTTCCTGATATTTGGACATCTCGCCTCTGATTGGATAACAGCAACACGACTCTTCCACTAACTCTGTTTACTCTGCAACATTGATGTTTTCCATAAATAACACAAGCCTGGAGGAGTTTTGCCAAGTGTTGGAGTTGCTAATGCTAATGGTTAGCTTCTACTTGCAGAGATGCTCTTTGCTTTTTCCTGGATGCTAAACCAAAAGCAGCCTTCCCCATTGTGAGCCAAAATGGGTGAGTCCATGAATGTGAAGTGACAGTGTGGGGTAGATCTGTCAGGCTTTTCAAATCCTAGAATTCCACCGTCTATTTTCTATCAGAAACTACTGTAGGAGATAGGTGTAGGAGACTATTTTCATGTTCAGCCTGCATGAAAAACACAGAGTGACCGATTATAATCAGAAATAATCATGAAAAAATCTTGTTTTTTTTTTTTTTTTTGGTGAACCACACCTTTAGGAACAATATCTTTTTTCCAATTTATACATTTTACTCTTGTCAATGAGGATGAAAATACCACCAGATTTTCTAACTCTTAAGGATGCAGACTACAAACTGGAATTAACCGTTTTGTAATTTGTCTTCAAGTCGTGGAAATATTAATTTAAGTAGCTTGTTTGGATTTTGTTGAATATAGTTTTACTTTTTAGTTATTTTACATGAAAACCAGTCTAAATGCACATTTTGCACCTGCTGTGAGTGTTTTATTGTTCTTTGTTTCATTCATTTCTCCACCTACTCTTTGTCTGCACGACTCATTGATAGCCACCAATGAGACAGTGTAGACCTATTCTGCAACGTCTACATGCTGTTGACCATCTATGGTGTGATGCGTGAGCAGAGGGCAGGAACGCCGTAATGATTCCTAAAGTGAACTTCTGATGGAAACAGATTTTTGATAATTATTTGACTATTAGGTACTGTTTTATAAGTTGTGCAAGGCTGCATAAATGAAGCACCTTAGATTAAATACTTTAAGAATCCATCATTCCAAACAGTTTTTTGGAGTCTTGCTAGTTTTCTTTTAACTCGTTTCTGAGGAAGGATCACGCAGAACCAGAAGCTCGTTAGTCTTTTGGTTTCTCATCAGACTCATTTTTACTGATGTTGGAGAGAGAATGGAAAATGTAAAGCCAGGCAGAAAAGGATCTACGAACATATTTTACTATGGAAAATTTGGAATTAGTCCAAGTTCCCCAGCTTGTCGTGAGTTGTTTGCTTTCTTCCCGTAGGGATCAGTTTTGTTGTGAGCATGCCCACAAAGCTTCCTGTTATCCCCTCAGTGGGATAAGCAGGATTTCCACTTGTGCAATTCACAGCAACAGTGACAGCACATATTATTTTAATCAGCTTGCCAGACTGTGTAACACCAGTTAATGACATGAGTGTGTGTGTGTGTGTGTCATGGGGCACAGAGGCTCTGAAACACTGTGACGAAGGGTAATTACAGTCAGCTAAAGCTAAACGGGAGGAAAACACGTACATTTTCTGTGCGTCGAGTAATCTGAGGGAAACTTTTCAGTTTATTGAGCTCCGACCCAATTCGAGTTGACGTGAAACCTAATTCCTTTGTTTTGAACCTGTTGAGGCTCCAGGCCGGGTGAGTAAAGTGGCTCATGCTGCCCTCGTCGTACCTGCCTCTTAATGTAAGTCTCCTGGACGTGCAGCAGGAAGCTAAACACACAGAGGCACCAAAACATCCAGCCACAGCCCTCGATAACAGATCTGTTTTTAGGTTGGAAAACCCAACATGTTGACTGATATTTTGGTGCGACCCTGTTAGCTTGTTGTTGCCACTTTTATGTTTCATCATGAAACACAGACATGTTTTTAAAATAAGCTAATTTCATAATATATTACCTATAATTTCTGTATGTAAGGTTTTAAACTAAAATCCTTTTTCATTATTAATTAAGACATTTTTTTCAGTAATGTAATCAAATGAATTACTTTCTTTCGTTATAATGCCATTTCCGTAACTGATTTTAAAAATGGTTTCTTAGTGATCTTTAACACCCGTGCTGCACATTCAGACCAAACGTGAAAATTGTGTCCTGCACCTGTTTTCTGCGTTAGCTTCTGATACAAAATAGATGGTGAAAAACTAAGATTTGCCCATCTTGGCACGCAATGAGGAAGGCTGTTGTTGTTTTAGCATCCAGGAGAGAGCAGAGCACATCTCGACTAGTAGAAGCTAACTGTTAGCATTAGCAACTCCACAACACAGCAAAACTCCTTCATGCTTATGATGTTTGTTGAGATAAAACATTGCAGTGCAAACATAGTCAATGATTGAGTTGTATTGCTGTTATCAGAGAGCGACATGTCCCATAATCAGGAATACTCCAAATCCTGCTGTCTTCTGCTTCCCCCTTCTCTGGTTCTCTTCTACTTCCTGAAACGGGAGTGCCAGAGATTTTTCCCCACAGAGACATTCATTTATCTCAGGAAGTAAGACTCCAAACCCTGCCGTCTGAAGCTACTTTCTCCACTCCCTGAATTATGTGTGTTGAAACAAGTGCACCAGAGCTTCTTCCCCCAGATGTTCAAGGAATTCATATGAGTGAAGGACCTCTTTAAAGCAGAAATCTGGAGTTTTTGTCAGAGGACACCATCTAGAGGCTGAAGAATGAATTACACCTTAAGCCTCTCTATTTCCGCATTTACAACTGGAAGCAATGCCCCTCATTCGTGAACACACACCTTTAGCCAGCCAACAGAGCTAAAACACATTGTTCTACTATTACTTTTCCTGTATTTGCAGTTTGTTCACATATACAGTTTTATAGACTTGTCCAAAATAAAATGTCGCTAGCTCTGTATCAGTTGAGGTACTTCTGCAAACAAGTGTGCACACTCTGTGATTGACCATCTGTACGTAAGCGGATATCTATTGCTATTGGCTATTGGCTAATGCTCATTCTGTTTTGCAAATATTTCTATTTTTAATAAAACAACAACATTCACAGAGTCTGCTGGGAAAATGGTGTTTACCTATTAAAGAGCAAGTTCACTGAGAAACCATTTTCTTACATGTTATTTTTTGAATATGTTGGAGTCACTCTGAGTTTAACATGCAGGCTGAATGTGAAAATAGTCTTCTACTTCCATTTCCTGCATTAGCCACCGACAGAAAATAGTCATGGTAGCGCTATTAGAAGAGCCAGTGGCTTTAGCACATTATGATGCCAAATTAACATTCATGGATTTGTCCATCTTGGCTCGCAACGGGGAAAGCTGTTGTTGATTTAGCTTCTAGGGGAAAGCAAAGCATGTCTTGCTAATAGAAGCTAACTGTTGGCATAGCAGCTCCTCAACATGGCAGAACTCCTTCAGGCTTGAGTTTTTTGTAGAGATAAAGGATCAGCGTCGCAAAGAAAACAGAGTTAATGGTAGAGTCGCGATACCTTTAGCCAATCAGAGACGAGATGTCTGAATATCAGAGAAAAAAGACTCAAACTCCTCAGCTCAGCGGTGGCTCTCTTTGAGCTCCTGAAACAGGAACGCGAGAGATCTTTTGTTCGTTTATTCTAGAGACCACTGCAACTGTGTTGTAAAAACTAGTGAAGTTGATCTTTAAAGGTTTCTTCTTTAAAGGTTTAACAGGTTTCATCCTGTCAAAAGGGAGTTTTCCTCTCCACTGTCGCTACATGCTTGCTTAATATAAGGAATGCTGTAAAGTTACTGACACTTGTCAGTGACTTGATGCAATTTGCTGTGTTCATTATATAGGAAACTCTTTACTGATTGGCTTAATGAACTGACCTGAATTGGAATGTTTACTATGAGAAGTGCCTTGAGACGACTCTTGTCGTGATTTGACGCTATATAAATAAACTTGAATTGAATTGAATTGAATTAAAGCATTTCAAATATAATTTTTCTATTTGCTGTTTCACGTTTGTAAGAGTGGAGAAACTGTGCTTGAGCAAACAGAACTGGGTGATTATGAAATCTGGGGTCTGGAAGGGCCAGGATTTGAGAATGTTAAGCAACGATTCAACAATTGGCATCAAGTCTGAGTTCCTCTGATTGTTGCGTAAAATCATCATGTGCTACTGGCACAGTACTTTGCAAAACTCCAACCACCCTCCATTTATACATTTATTGCCTTTCGCTGCCAAAGATTGTCTTTAAATAGTTGACAAGTCTCCAGATGGTTTTCAGTAATAAAAGCATGACTCAACACAGGGTGTGAGAGATGTTGCATTCTTGGGTTACACTTGAGGCTACAGGCATGTACAAAAATCAGTTTTTTGGTGTATAATACAATATTTTACAATCAAACAGTTATTTATTTTAGTTATAAGCTAAAGAAATTAAAAATATTATTGTCTTTGAACGACTGATAAGAATAAATTAACTAAATTTACAAAAAACTCAATTATATTTTTCTTTTATTAGTTGTTTTATGACTTGTAGACACAACACTGATTAATCCCTTCAATTTATGAGCCTTTTTCACACTTGAATGATTTTTAGGTCAGAGTTTGGTGTGTCATGTAGGACCATGAAGACGAGCTGGAAAAGTAACAAAAGGATCATAGAAAATCATGCAAGTTCTTTGCAAAAAAAAAAAAAAAAAAAAAAGGAAATATAAAAGTAGATGGAGACTTTCTCACAGACTTGACTCAGCAGCCATTTCTCTGCTGGTTAACTGTAATTACCAGAGACAGGTTTCACAAAGGGAGCCATCTGCAGTGCTGCATGCCCATTATTCTGCAGACAAAAGCTGGCTTCATCTGTCTATTTTTGGCCCAGCATGCAGAGATGAGGACGGGAGCACAGTTTTTAATGTCACTTCTCTATAAAGCTATATTTTTATTAAGTCTGTTTTTTGTTTTGTTTTTAATCTTTCAGTTTCCCAGACGAGGACAGGCCAGTATCTCCGTTCTACATGAGGTAGGCCTCCCGTGCACGTGTCAGAATCTTGCTTTGGGGTTGGATGAGGTAGGGGGTGTGTGTCTGGGGGTGGGGTTACTGCCTCTGTGCATTGTCATCAAAAGCAGTAGAAAGCACGAGTTAGAGTCGACATGTGGAAGCACTGCTTGGTTGTTTTGATGGCGGGGGCATATGGTTCAGATTCACCACTTCATCAAACATCATCCGTGTGAAAATACTGAGGTTGAGAGCGAAAAAGGGTGACTGAATTAAAATAGACAATAGTGTGAGAAAACTTTGGTTGGTGAAAATAACTGCAATCAAATTAGGATTTAATTAAGACACTTTGTCTGTAAATTGCAGTTAGAATCTCAGCAAATGTAGCAATTTGGTGTGCGATTACATCATAAGCCCCACGTGACCCCAGCATAAATAAAACGTGTATCCGAAGTGTCACACTTACCAGTTCAGATTAAAACATTGTTGATTACATTAACTTTGAAACTAATGAGCTTGTTTTTTTACTAATAGACATTGAAACATGTTTCTGCACGTTCCAGTGACTTGTCCTCCATGATATTTATTAAATAATAAGAAGGAACGTTCTGTATTTATGAGTTAAAGCTTTACTGATCCAGTCAAAGAGAACTGTTTACTGATGCATCCTCAGAGCTGATAAGGCTCCAGGGTCATACACGTTAAGCATTTAATTGCTAAAACTTAATGGATGACAGGCAACAGAAGCTCCACTAGATAACTGTTACATAACCACATCACTCAAACCCACAACAACACCTGAAATGAAGTTTATTGCTGCTGTATTTACAGACAAGTTTTGATTTCCTGATTAAAAAGTTGTTGACTCACCATAAATGTATCAGGATCCAGATGTTTAAATCAGTCCAGTTGTTTCTGTTATTATCAGGTCATTCACAGGCAAGAAGTATTGGGGGGAATACTTTGTAAAAGTTACAGAAAACTGAATACCTGCTTTAAAATGTATTTTTTAACATATTATGTTACTTTGCTTAATCCTGGTACTTCCCGTTGAAAACAGTATTTAGGTCTATTAAATGTCACAATAGGCGTTGGTAGTTACCCCCGCAGGAAAACAGAGGGCATATTAATGCTAAACAATATGTACTGACTGTGAAAAAATAAATTAACAAAGAAATTATTTTTGTTACTTATTTTATGAAAAGTGTCAATATTACTGGTTCTGTAATAAAGTGAAACTTTTCTGCAGGAGCCGCTAACCAACTCACAGCACGCTAATTTAGAAAAACTATGTATTAGTTTTTTTGTTTTTTATGTTGTTCTTTCATGACTGACATCCGTAGAGGTCCAATCACAGCACAGATATGGCAACAGCTTGCTTAAAATGGCTTTGGCGTCAACTTGGAATATGTAAACCTGGACTGAAGAGCAAATAGAGGTACTTAATTTTATTTAGAAAAAGGGTATATTTGTGTTTTCTTCGACAAAGTGTAGCAGACCACCTCATTGACCAACATCTGTAGCGGTAAGTACTTCACGACTGAGAGCCGTCAAATGACCATAGATACACATTGCCCAAAATGTATTTATTCATCTTTCAGGTGGAAAGTGGAAAACACACCAAGTATTCCAGTGGTATTACGAAAGTAACCTTATTCTAAATACCATGTTTAAAAATAGTAACTGTAACGGAATAAAGTTACTCCGTCCTTAGTATTCTGAATAAGTTACGTGCCGGTACAAGATCTGCTCGGGTGCAAGATCGGCTCGAGGTCCGTTGACTGCCGGTGACGTCAAAGTAATTGATTGGCTGAACATGAACCTTACGGAAGTTACGTAATCACTTTATGTTTATGTTTATGTATTTAGCAGACGCTTTTGTCCAAAGCGACTTACAAGTGATAATCGGCATTTTGCCCTTGAGGCTAACAACAACAATAACAACAACAACATTGACATCAGTCATGGAGAGGAGGGAACAAGGAGTGGACAGTAGAGAGGGGGGACGGGTGCAGGCAAGGTGCTAGTTCAGAAGATGCTCTCTGAAGAGCAGGGTCTTCAGGAGTTTCTTGAAAATTGAAAAGGAAGCCACAGTTCTGGTAGTGCTTGGAAGGTCATTCCACATTTGTGGAACGATGCATAAGAAAAGTCTGGACTGTCCTGAGCGTGGTGTAGGCACTGCTAGCCGACGATCCTGTGATGACCGGAGCGGCCGGGCCGAGACGTAAGCCTTTGCAAGAGGATTCAGGTAGATGGGAGCCGTACCGTCTCGGACTTTGTATGCTAGTGTTAGCAATTTGAATTTGATGTCGGACTTTGTATGCTAGTGTTAGCAATTTGAATTTGATGCGTGCTGCTAGCGGTAGCCAGTGGAGCTCAATGAACAGAGGGGTGACGTGTGCTCTTTTAGGCTGATTGAAGACCAGACGCGCCGCTGCGTTCTGGACCATTTGAAGAGGTCTCACAGTACAGCCTGGAAGACCAGTTAGAAGGGCATTCTAGTAATCGAGGCGGGAGATGACAGTAGATTGCACCAGGAGCTGGGTGGCATGTTGTGTTAGGTATGGTCTGATCTTTCGTATGTTATACAGCGCAAAGCGGCATGAACAGGCAACAGAGGCAACATGATCTTTAAAGGCTAGGTATTCATCAATCAACCCACCCAGATTTCGAACTGCCTTTGAAGAAGCCAGAGATAGGAAGTCATTCTGGATTGAGATATTGTGCTTTATGGATGGTTTTGCTGGGATGACAAGTAGTTCAGTTTTAGAGAGGTTGAGTTGGAGATGGTGGGATTTCATCCATTTTGACATGTCAGAGAGACAGTTTGATATTCGTGCAGAGACAGTGTGGTCGTCCGGTGGAAATGACAGATAGAGCTGGGTGTCGTCTGCATAGCAGTGGTAGGAGAAGCCATTTGATCGAATGATCTCACCCAGTGAGGTGGTGTACATGGCAAAGAGAAGAGGTCCTAGTACAGAGCCCTGGGGGACTCCTGTGGCAAGATGGTGCACGGTAGAGGACTGTCCAAGCCAAGATACAGTGAATGATCGTCCTGTGAGGTATGATTCAAACCAGGCGTGTGCTTTCTCTGTGATGCCCATGGTAGAGAGTGCGGACAAAAGGAAGCCATGGTTGACAGTGTCAAATGCTGCCGATAAGTCGAGTAGGATAAGCACTGAGGATTTGCCTGTCGCTCTAGCTTCTTTTAAGGATTCAGTCACTGCTAACAGAGCAGTTTCAGTGGAGTGGCCCTTTTTGAACCCAGATTGGTAAGGGTCAAGCAGGGTATCGGTACAAGATCTACTCGGGTGCAAGATCGGCTCGAGGTCCGTCGACTGCCGGTGACATCAAAGTAGTTGATTGGCTGAACATGAACCTTATGGAAGTTACGTAATCACGTTATGTTGTTGTTATCACGTTACGTTGGTCCAGGCAAATTTTTCTGTTGGAAAGATGGACAACTTTTACAAAGAAATCCATCATTACCTCTTTGAAAATACACTTTTAGCATAGAGCTGCATGTATATTAGGGCTGAACGATTAACTGCATGTGCAATTAAATTGCGATGTGACAAAAGGAGATTTTCTAATAGCAAAGGCTGCAATTTGGCAGCGAGTGGTTAGCGCAATGCTAATATACGTGGAAAAACCCATAGGAATGCTAATGCTAATATCACCGAAATGATTACACTTGGAGTCTAATAGAAAGTAAAACTACCATCAATCAAATAAGTACAGACAGGTATTTTAGTAAAGCCAGAAAACTTTTAACTCCAGAGTTTTGGCTAGCAGCTATGAGTGTAACTGAACTACGCATGGACAAGACGTCAAAAACTAAACACAAAATACTTCAATAAACGGGACACACTTCTTTCCTGCAAATACAATTTCACAGGTATTGCTAATACCTATGATTTTTCAAGGGATGTGCTCAAAGAGGAGTTCAACATTATGAATACAATATAGTGTTTTATTTTACAAATACCATTATAAACACAAACTTACGTCTTAAGAAACATTATTTTAATAACGAAACTGCTAAATTCTTTCCAACAGTATAGATGTGTAGTATATTTTGTCCGAGTGGGTTTGCCGTACTTTGACGTCATCGGCAGTCGAAGGACCCCGAACCGATCCTGTACCGACAACAGCATTACATGTATTCTGTTACTCCCCAACACTGCAGGCAAGAATGTGATAAAAATTATTGAGTCCATCAAATGTGTTTTTGTTGTTTTTTATTCACAGCGTTAATCACAAATTAAATTCTAGTTGGTTTGTTTTTAGAATAAAAAACAAATTTTATTCATATCTGAAAATGAAATGTATTATAAACAATAAACACAAATAGATGATAGTTCATATGTTTATTGTATTCATATGTATGTTTGTTATATTAATGCAAATTCAATCTCTGGTCTTGAATGTTTAGGTATTAAATATTTTCATGATATAGCATATTTGCATTCAGTCATTTCTGTCAAACCAGAATCAAGACATAACTTTATAATAATCTAAACAAAGTGTAATTTATTATCTGTATACAATGTTTAATCTAGATTCATATAAATGTTAAAGGAGCTGCCAGTGGCTCAAAAGAGTGGCTTTATGAATCGCAGTGCATTCTGGAAAAGTGGGCCAAGCAAATAAACATAACATTTGCCTTTTTAAAACCCCTTTTTTAAATGTATGTAACTGAATACGCACAGAACACACAACTTTATTTTAATAATTATGGCAGTATAACTCAAAGTGATTCATATATTGAGACTTTACGTCAGCTCTGAAGGAAGTGCTATAGTGAAAGGCATACAAGGTAAAATAAAACAAAGATGCCAAAGTTTTGATGATTGAGCTAGTTATAAAATGTAAAGCTATTTGAGCTTGTAAAGAGTTTAGCATCGCATCATTTGTGTTACACCATCACTGTGAACATTTCATCGTAAAATGTCTACTTAAAACATAATTAAACCTAAACTGTGATTGTGTATAAACCATAAAACATATCATGACGCCTGTTC